AGGAATCTGTCCTTTATCAGTTCCTCAAAAGCTCAGTCTCAATACAATTTGATTTACACTAAAAACATCAAATTACCCATGAGCCCAGGGATTCTCTGCCCAACACTGTAAATTCATTTTACAATGGTTACAATACCCAGCGTAACAAAGCGAACATTTCTCCTAAATAAATCTAAATCGACTGTTAAAATGCCTCTAATTCCAACTGCAGTTTGATAGTGGTGTCCCAACGAATTTTTAAACCTTCTCCTCCTCCCGGCATATTTCTTTTTAGAAATAACCAGTGGAGAAGCCAATAGATTTCAATAAATCACTGTTGGATGAAAACAAGCATAAAAAGGAGGCTTGAAGTTGTTTAATATTACAGATGTTTTGGAGCTCTATTCAGTAGTTGGCAAGTCACACAAAACTGCTCTGAATTCTTTATAATCTAGATGCAAAGATCATTGAACTTTGAAAGAACCTCCGGGCTTTTATTCAAAAACATGTTGGCTTCTATTTACCTCTTTCTTCATTTGTATCTATCAAATGGCTTGATATATAAATAAAGCCCGGGTGTTCTTATTAGCTAAGGCAGTATTTCATGCAGATTAATGCCAGCAGGTTTCATAAAATACATCTCTATTCAAAGCTGGAGTGTGTTTTGAATTAATTTTCATTCTGTATATGAATCAGGTATATTCTGCTCAAGTTCTTATATACTCTTTGGTTGCAGTATATAGGAGGAACCTGTAGCATTTGAGTCTACTCCCAGTTCACTGCATCATCCTTCTTCAGCAAAGCACTTTTAACCCTAAGCATGTACTTAATCCCATTGACTTTAATAGGAATACTCACATGCTCAGGTATATTAAAATTATAATTGAAAGCAGTACCTTGCTTTCTCGGGGCCTAAGTGACATAGCTAGCATTTTATTGAATGGACTTATTTAAATATTACCTCATGTATATGCTATGAGCAAATCTTTCTGAATTCAATAAAATCAGGCTTATTGTTATTGAATTAAAAAAAAAAGAAAAAAAAAAAAAAAAAAAACCTTCAGCTTTCTTTGTTTCCAAAGCAGACTAAAATTCTTGGACTAAACAGAAAATATTATGTTGGCTCAAAGCACTTTGCCAACTGGGAAAAAAAATGCAGTAAGAAATTAATCTGGTGTTGGTCTTAATAGAATAATAGACAAGGGGTTTTAATGAGATTAATAAAATTACTTTTAAAGAACACTTTGGTCAACTATCAGCTAGAAATTCAGCATCTCACACAAGATATCTATGCATTTGGATAATTTTGCCAACATTAAATTGATTTTTCAAACGATCCAAACATCAGAGTGGTTGAAAGGGTTTTTTCTCTGTAACATAAACACCCTCACAAGCAAAATCCGCCTACTGAGGCAGCAAGACCCTGGTGAAACCAGAGAATGGAGAAAATATATGTGTAAGATTAGAGCAGATCACACGCAAACTGTTTGAGACGCTCCAGCGTGATTTCATTCCCATCCTGCGGAAACTTTGCCTAGAGTGCTCTAATAATGGAAATGTTTGGATTAGTCTACACTCAATCCATTTGCCCCCATGCCGCACCAAATGCGAGCTGCACGATCAGTCTAGATGAGTAACTCTTTGCAGTTTAGTAGTAGCTCGCTTGTAGCTGTGGCTGTCTGAGGTCATTAGAGAGATGAGCTTTGCGGGAGAGGCATTGCTAAAGCACAAGAGCAATTGGTCTCTTGGGAAAAAGTAATGCAAGTTTGGGGATATAGTCATAGAATCCTTAAGGTTGGGAGGACGCAAGCTCTTCCTTGGAATAACCCAGGAGTGCACCTTAGAGCTCTCCGGTTTAATTCTGCTTTGTGCTCACATGTAAAAAGAAAGTGGTTGTACCGGCTGGAGCCCAAGACCTAAAATCAAGGATGACCACATTTTCAAACTCAATCAGTGAAGATGGAGAAAAATATATGTTATAATAATAATAAAGCAGAACTTTGACATTTTATAAACCTCAAATAGAGGACAAAGCAATCAGGGACATCTCAGCAAGCAAGGAATGAAAAGATCATGAATGATGCTCTTCATCATATCATGGACTCTTGTCACAGAAAAGAGCAAGAATTAAGAAAACTGCACAGACCATCCAGCATTTTCTATCAACTGTTGCTCTTTTCAGCATAGCAACTTTTCCTCACAGAGTCACTAGGAAATACACATTCAAACTCATGTCTATCTGAGGTCCTGGGCTCTTTCATGATACTCAGACTAAATACACATATCTAGATTCCCACTTTTCTTTTTGCACTATAAATTTCAGTCTTCTCTGTTGCTGAAGGCCTCCAGGGTCTCAGAGATGGGTACCACATAATATCTGATTAAAAGAACCTGGATACTGGATTTCCAACAAAGACTAAATTTTTCTAAAGTATGAAGCAGTAGGACATGCTCAGTGATTGCTAACAAATGTAAAAAGGCTATTTTTTTTAATCATATGGCTAAAACACAAATACCTTGTCTTCTCAGTGGTGTAGCCCAGGGTCTTGACTCTCTCGAGCTCTGAGGCGACTGGAGTTCTTTAGTCTAAACAAGAGCCAAATTCCTATGGTACAAAGTACTATAATAAAATCAAATATCAAAACAAAATCAAATCAAATTAAAAATCTGGCCAATTTCTTCTTCCCTGTCATTTGCTGGTCACTGTTRAAGTCGGGAAAAAAATAAAAAGAGAGAGGCTGGGTTCACTTTACAGCCAGGAACATATCGGTATCTGAAGAGTGCTGCCTCTGAAATGTCATTTGCTGGGGAAGCTTTAGTTGCAAGAAGAAAACCCTGGTCTGTGGAAAGAGAATAGCCTCAAATCAGTGTSGGGGGGAGCAAGAAGGCCACATATGGAAGGAGGACCAAACAGACCCTTCTCCTTTCCTAGGCGCGCAGCTAGCGCGAGCGTGAGGCGCGTGTTTTAGGGGCTAGAACCGCGTTCAGAAGCAGGGGAAAAGGCCGAGGGCAGTGCCGGGGGCGAAGGGGCTCCGCGGGGGCTGCGCGGAGGCCGATGCGGCCGCGGGGCCGCTGGAGGGCACTGGCCGCCCGCGGCAGGCGCCGCGCGCCGCGGCCGCAGTTTTTTGCTCGTTGAGGTCCTGTCATTCCTGTATAAACAAGTTACGTTCAAGTGTTTAGGATATAAATTACGACCATGCAGGCTTGCCTCGGAAAGAATGTAAACACAGCACTGTGGTCGGAGCAAACGCTGGAGCTGACTTTATAATTTATCACAGGCCCTGAGAAGCTCAGGGAAGGAGAGGGCACGTTCGAGCGTTGATACATATTAGGGGGCAAAAATGCAGAATTAAATGAAGAATTAAAAATATATATATATTATATATATATTTTTTTTTCAGCGCCCTGGCTCTTCCGCGTGCACAAGCGCTGGGGCTCGGGCCGCGGGGAGCGGAGCCTGCGCGCAGCGGGGAGCGAGGCCGCGGCCGGTGCCTCCGTGGGCTGCGCGGCCGCGCAGGGCGCGCGGGAGACTCCTCGGGACGGGGGCGACCGGCGGGATGCGCGGACGAGCAGCAGGGCCGGGAGGCGCTGGGTACCGCGGGCTTGCGCACCCTTCGGTTTATGTAGGGCATTTCGGGGGCGCTTTGGGTTTTCCTACTGTTTTGTTTCGTTCCTTCTYGTTATTCTCATTCTTATTAATAATAGAAACAGTAATAATAATTTCTTCTCTCTCCCGTTCTGCGGCCGCCCCGCTGACCCCCGGCGCCCTCGCGGGGTCCCCGTTTTATTCCCCATCCTTGTGGCCGAGGGTGGCCCCGCTCCTTGCAGTCCTCCCCACACAACCTTTCCCCTCCAGGGCAAGCGGGACGGCAGCGAGGAGGGACCGGCCCCCTGGAARAAGCCCCAGCCAGAGGGAACAAGGTGGAATCGGGACGGGATCAAAGAGAGCGAGCGGGGCCTGTGGCCCTTGCTGCTTTTGCGCGCCTTTTTATGTGTTTTTCATCCCCAGTCTATCAAGCACCGGGTGAGGGTGAGGGGAGGAAGAGGGGCAAGGTGGGCAGTGCACCTGGGCACCTCGGCCCCCGATCCCTCCTGTCAATYGCTCCATTTGCCCTTAGAGGCTGCAGGGTGCTGCGGGCGCTGAGGGAAGCGGAGCTTTCTCGGAAGGAGCCGAGGGAAGGAAGCGCCTGCGCAACGCGCACTCGTTTATATACATTTTATTGGGAAAAAAAAAAAGGAATTTGTACATCAAAATATTTTGGCAAACTGTAAAAAGTATACATAAGTGCAAATATATTCTTCTTTTTAAAGCAATAGTGTGTGAGTATACACAGGATTTATTTAAAATATTTATTTTAAAATATTGTGGTAGAAAACGACTTTTGGTAAGATAGAAAACAAAACATTGTATTGCTGCAATACTGGGGGGGGAAATGAACTTTTCTTGAAGTTTATACACGAAGGGGCTAAAAATATTGTTTTAATAATATCGATCGGCCGGTGCAGGAGTCCATAAAAAAGTGTCCTTGGAGGGGCTCGAAGAGAGAGAGAGAAAAAAAAAAAAGAGATAAAATAAAATTAAAGTAACTAATTCCCCGCTAACGCGACAGCGGAAGGGGGACTCCTCGCAGGTGCTGAATTAGGAGATTTTTTTTCCAATGCAAAGACCATTTCTCGTATAGAAAACCGCCGCACAGCTCCCTTTCCCCGAGYCCGCTGCTTTTGGAGAGCCCGGGCGGGCGCTTCGTGCTGAACCGGCTTGCACTTGGCCTCGGGACCCTTGAGGCTCAGCCTAGCCCGCCGCACCACTCGAGGCGGTTGCATTTTTTAGGCCAAGCTCTGGCCTGGTGCATCCGCTGTTCGTGTCCTTCGGGGAACGGAGAGGGGCCGAAAACGCTGCTTCCTTGGGTACTTGGGCTAAGTGACTCGTGTACTATTCAACGCTATCAGAGTGCACGTAATACGTTGCCTGCGTGGGACCGTCTACGCGTGGGCTCTGCTCTCTGCCGCCAGATTGTCCCCGCGGGGGCTGCCCTCACATCACACACGGCTTGATGTCCTGGCACACGCTTTGGTGGTGGTGGTGGTGGTAGTAGGAGCCGCTGGCGGAAGGGTGGAAGGAAGAGATGCCGTTGAAGTTGAGGACAAAATCCTTCCTGTCGCACACGGGCGAGGGGTGATGCTGGTAGCGAGGCAGGCCCACTGCAAGAGAGGGGAGGGAGAAAAGCTGCTCAGCGAGACGGGGCCCGGGCCGCGCTCTCTGYCCCGCGCAGCGGGACTGACGCATCCAGGGACCCCCTTCCGACGGGAGGGTCCAGGGACCCCCCGCTTCCGACGCACTCCCCGAGCGGCAGCCCCTCTCTCTGCTCCTCTCTGGCTTTCCCGGGAAGCCTCGGGAAAGCGGGCGGAGGCAGCGCCCCCCACCTCTCCCCCGATCCTGGCGCGGCAGCCCCCGGGCCCCCCGGCGCCCAGAGGCGGCGGTTGCGGGCGCGCGGGTGCCCGTGGTCTCGCGCAGCGCAGAAACCCCCGCGCCCCGGGGCGCCTCTCGAGTGGGGATGGGCTGTGGGGCTGCCAGCACAGGATGCGACTGCCACTTATGCTGCAGATATTTGGGGCTGGTTCTCATCTTCGCTCCCGCTCTCCCCGCCGCCCTCCCCCGGCCCTGCCATTCCTGGGAGGTTTTGCTCTTGGCTTTCGGGGATGCAGGTTGGATTCCAGCCGCGGCGCGCTCCTACAGTGCTAATTCATTTATTTGGGGAGGGAAGGGGGAGCCTATACAGGCGGGCCCTYCCAGAAAGGTGAAGTGCAGACTGGGGACAACCCCGCGGTTCATCACCGCGGCAAGAGCAGGGCACCGCCGGCAACGGCATAAAAATAAAATGACCTTTCAGATCCCGGCTCTCGTTTCCCACCGTCTGGGGCAGCTTGTCGGGGGACACAGCTTAAGGGTCTGGTGGGAGAACAGCAACCCAACCCCCAAGAAAAAAAAAATAATCGCCCCTCGCCGTAAGGCTCTGGCAGGGATCCTTCCGAGACTGGCGGGGAGAGGGGAGCTGCCCGAGCAAGGCCTGCAGGATGCACTCGGAGGGGGGGATCATGACGGGGGCGGGAATTTCGTGTGGATATCAAACTTAGCTGGGGGGGACCCTGTCAAGCCTGATTGAGGGGAAGACAAATAAAATAAAATGAGATGAAAGCCAGGAAAATAAAGAGAAGGAGAAAGGGTTGCAAATATATATATATATATATATGATAAAATAAAACAATAGGTAATAAGAGCGAACGCTCCGCGGTTTCCCGGGGTGGCGGCGCGCAGCGCGTCCCTGAGCGCTGTCCCCTCCTTCACCCCGCAGAGCTCACTTTATAAAAGTGATTATTTCGCTGGATTTCCTCGGCTTTCTAATAACCCTGCTGGTATGCTCACCATAAACCAGAGCACTTTATTACAATCCTGATTCAATCATTTAGCAGGATTTAATAGTGTGCGAAAAAAATCCGCCCCCCCTTCGTCCCACCGCCTCCAGCCCCAACTTCAAAATCCTTTAGCAGAACCGAGACTCCTGTTTTCAATTTCTTTCCCCTCTGATTCTTGCCTCTGATGCAAATTCAAGGTTTTAAAGCCACCCGGTCGTTGTCGTGACTTGAGGATTATTAGCCGATCAACATCGACCACCGCTGAATTTGCTTTGTATTCAATAAAGAGAAAGGGAAAGGCGAAAGGCGCTTGCTTGTTCTTTTGCGGTGAGATTAGGAAGATTATTGCTGGTAATAATTATGAATGAAGTATTTAGGGATCGTTTTCCCCTTTTCTTTTCTCCCTACTGAAACTTCAGTGCCGTCGAGATTTTGGGCAGCACACACAGAAACAAGGGTTGGATCCGCGCAGAAGTGTTTTTTAGCTAATCAAGGCTAAAAATGGAAAGGCTTCCACTAAAGTCCTGGGCCAAGGTCCTGTCTCCAGGAGCTGAGACTGCGCAAAATAAGTGGAGAAGTGGAAAGTGTGCGTTTTGCACAGTGGTGACACTAAAACTGAGCTGCAGGGGAAAGAAAAGGCTCTCGTCCGTTAGCATTTGAAAAGCGTCCATCGGTCTGTCTGCCTGTGTATCTATCCCTTGAACTGAAGCCACCTCCGTTTCAGAAACTACGATGAGAGGCTTTAGAGAGAACGCGAGCTCCTTCTCTCTMTATATAATATATATAYACACACACACACAATTATATATATATAAATTTGAGGTAGTATTCTTGGGAAATTCTCTTCCTGGAATCACCTTTCCCACCTCAGGTCTCCTGAAAGAGGAGAGGAGGATCCACACCCAGCCCTTGCAAGACCCGCTCCGGGGCCACGCGTGTCCCCGTGGGGCGGTCGGGCCCCGCGTCCCCGTCTCGAATTCGAGGCCCGCGAATCCGCGAAAAGTAAAACAAACACAAATCAAAATAATAATAATAAAATAGATTATAAAGAGAGGGGGAGGGAAGAAAAAAATGAAAGAAAAATAAAATATTAGGAACAAAAATCAAAGGAGATTATTTGCGCGGTGCAGGGTAGGAGTTTCGGCGGGACATGCCCGTGTGAAGCCGCCTGCCCGCTCCGCTCTCGCCGGAGAAGCCCGCGGAGCCGCGGAGCGCGCGGGCCCCGCGCAGCGCGGCCGGGGCTCCCCGCGCCGCGGCCGTCCCTGCCCCGGGGGCGCTGGGCGAGCCCTCGCCGCGGGTCCCCTGTCCCCGGATAACGGGGCGAGCCCCGCAGCCGCCGCGGGCTGCGCGGCTGGGAGAGCCCCGCGCTTGTCCTGCCCGCGGCGGCCGCGGCCGCTCTGGGGAGGCCGGGTAGGCAGCGGGGCTCGGAGAGGGACAGGGCAGTGATTGACAGGCGCCCGGGGAGGGCGCGGGAGGGGACTCGGAGCAGAGGGTCGCCTGTATTTGTTACTTGTTGAAATTCCCATAAAATTGAACAAGACCTCGCTCTCATAGGGGTTAAGTCAGGCTAAAATCCTCTTCGGTGTGGTCCAGCCCAGACTGTCTTTGTTTGCTTAACCTCTGGGACCCACGTTTAAAAGGGCTATTTGGAAAATTTCCCCGTAAGAGTCCAACATCTTTTACCCATTTTTGTGCTAGGATTTTTCTAAGCAGACATTGTCTGTAATAACCGGCCGGGGAGGGGCCGCAGAAAGAGCCCAGAAAGCTCTTTTCCCTCCGGTTGCAGAAACACACTGGATCTCCTTTAATCCCTCCCGCATTTTTAAAGATTAGCTGGGTTTTTTTTTTTTTCTTTTTTTTTTTTTTTTTTTTTTTTTTCTTCCCCTTAGCCCGCGGGGCCTTGGGGGATAATATTTAACACCTTTCTCGATTGCTGCCGCCGCAGAGCTCCGCGGACTTTGCTTGAACGGGGGATGCCCGGCTCTCTGTCCCGCTCCTGGGCCCCGGGGTCGCACGGAGCCGGGTTTTCCTCGGGCTTTGCCCACCCAGAGGGAGCGCCCTGGCCACCCTCGGCCTCCTGCATCCCACGGCACAGCAGCTCCAGCCTTCCCTCCCGCTTTCCTCCCTCCTGCGGGGAGCAGCCCCGTTTTCCCGGCCGTGCTTCGGGTTCCCCCGCGCTCGGATTTTCCGCGCCTGCCGCCGTCACTGGTGCCATCCCGCTCCCGGTTGCCGTCCCTACCTGCGAGGTCGTCGCGGGGGCTCTGGTGCAGGTAGCCCTGCTCCAGCGAGTAGGAGGGCACGCTGGAGTGGAGGCCGGAGGAGGCCGCGTTGGCGGCGGGGAGGCCCTGCTGCTTTATGTAGGGCGAAGCCCCCGAGGCTGTCCAGTGAGCCGAAGGGCTCGTGTAGGGCGAGTGGCACTCGATGGCGCTCGCCATCGCCGGCGACGAGGGCACGGGGCTGCTGCTGCTGTCGGGACCGTAGTCCCCGTTGGCAGTCACCGGGCAGCTGGCCATGTAGGTCGAACCGGGGTTGGGCGACATGTGTGGGACGTGGTGGCCGCCGCTAAGTCCCTCGTAGCCSCCGGCCATGGCGTTGGGCATCATGTCCAGGTTGTAGCCGTTGGAGTGGCAGGCGAGGGAAGCGGGGGGCGCCTGGAAGTCGAAGCCCTGTGGGAGGATGGAGGCGCCGAAGCCCAGCCCGTTCATCATGCGGTACATGGGCTTGAGCGCCTGGCATTTCCTCCTGAAGCCGCGGGGYCGCCGTCGGAAGGAGCCCTCCTCGAACATGAACTCGCTGGCCGGGTCGATGGTCCAGTAGTGGCCCTTGCCCGGGCGGCCCAGGCCTTTGGGCAGCTTGATGAAGCACTCGTTGAGCGAGAGGTTGTGGCGCACCGAGTTCTTCCAGCCCTGGTAGGAGCCGCGGAAGAAGGGGAAGCGGGCCTGCAGGAACTGGTAGATCTCGCTGAGGGTCAGGCGCTTGGATGGCGAGCTCTGGATGGCCATGACGATGAGGGCAATGTAGGAGTAGGGGGGCTTCTCGGGCCGCCGCAGCCCCGAGCTCGCCTTCTTGCTCTTGGAGGAGGCCGCCGCCGCCGAGGAGGAGGAGGAGGAGGTGGAGGTAGAGGAAGAGGAGGTGGAGGTCTCCAGGGCGGAGGAGGGCGGCCGGCTCATCTGGAGAGCTCCGGGCGCCGGGCTGCAGGAGCGGAGAGGCACGGGGGGCTCCAGCCGCTGCTGCCCGCTCGCCGTGGTCATCTGGCCGAGGGAGGCGAGCGCGGAGGCCGGGCCGAGGCTGCGAGGGGAGGG